CTTCACCGGTTGTACCGGCCAATCCCGGAGCAGGGGGATCCGTCGATGGGCCGGAGGCTTGACTGGGTACTGCAGTGGCAGCCGACTGGGCAGCAGCCAACTGTTGGTTGAGCGGGAGCGGCGCCAACACTGGAATTGGCCGTGGTTGGACCGGTGATAACGGAGGAAAGTTCTGCGCGTTGTTTTCCGGGACCTTCTTGCGACCGGGCTGGTTGTTGGACGAGACCTTCTTCCGGATCTCGGCGTATTCGGCCCGCTTCGGACAGGCCTTACTCGTGGCCTTGTGGGCAGCACCGCAGTTGGCGCATGTGGGAGCGGCTTCCTCGATGCTGTCGCAGTCGTCGATCTTGTGGTTTTTGCCGCATTTGATGCAGCGGCTGGCCATGCGGCAGTTCCTGGTGCCGTGCCCGAACAATAGGCAGTTCGAGCACTGAGTGACGCCACGGTGGGTTGGCTTATACCTCTCCCACTTCACTACGATGTGGAACAGTGTGCGTGTCGTATGGAGATCCTTCACGGTTGTGGAGTTCTTCTGCAGATGGACCAAGTAGAGCTGGTCACGATACTTGATGGCCTTGCTGCGGGTCATCTTGTGGATTTCGACCGGCTTGAGGCCGTTCGCCTTAATCTCGTCCATTAAGGTGGTGGTGTCCATGTCGTGGAGCCCGCGCAGCACCACTTTCAGCGACTTGGTGGCCTCGACGTCGTGGGAGAAGTACTCCAGCTTCATCCTGTCCAAGAGGGCCTGGACTGCGTTGTAGTGATTTTCGGCCGAGACCATCAGTTTGTAGCCTTCCGTGCACCGTTGAATGGTGCAGCGAAGGCCCTGCTTAATGTAGAAATCCAGCTGCTCCCATAGCCCGGGAGGGAAGCCCTTCACATAGAAGGGTGGCAACTTAACTTTTTTAGGCACCGTCTCAGGGTCCGACTGCGGCTGGGCTCCGTTCTGCAGGGCGGAGAACGGATTGTTGCTCAGCAGCTTTTTTGCTGCCGATGCGGTGGCGCTGATGTCTTCAGGTCTGGGTCGTTTAGTTCCGGGAGGCCCCGGCTGCGGGTCCGCAACGCCTGTCGGGACGGGCAATGGGGTTTTCTTCTGCTTCTTCTGAGCTGGCTCGGTGGTCGCGCCGTCTCCTGGGAGAGTCTGTTTTCCCGGTAAGCCGGCACTCGCGTTACCGCGCGATTTCTTACCCATGGCTGGGTCAGCGAGAGCGTCACTATACAACGCGGAGCTAATTCGACTTGCGAACGAACGAACGAAACTAGAGAGAATTCAAATCGACTGAACTGCTCAACAGTCTGGCAGCGAATGAGCTCGAGCTGATACCAGACAGCAGCGCTGCTTTATATTTTTTTAGGTTAAAGCAGAATAATGTGCAACCAAGTGGTATAAAAGCTACAAAGACTCCTCCCATTATGAGTAGTTTGCTATCAAGTAGCGACACTGGCTATTTTCTTTTTGCGTACACGGCGAATGAGAACGACCCAAATTTGAGTTTAGTTCACTCATAATCGCCAAAAGTGTAGGAACTCAGCGATGAGTAAATTTGTCTCATGATTTCGTGTGGAAAACCTAAAAAATCTACCAGAAAATGAGGAAATTGACGAAAATTTTATTCAGTCTCGGAGTAGTACAAATAGACTGAGTGAATCCAATCTTTACTTTTCTCAAATTCGGGAATTTTTCCCTGGAAAATCCTGGAAAAACCTGGGAAAAAATAAGGCAAACTTACTCATCGCTGAGTTCCTGCACTTTATTTCTTATTTCTGAGATAACTAAACTCAAATTTGGGTCGTTCTCATTCGCCGTGATAGATATCGGCGCCTGTGGTTAGCGTGATAACCTCTCTCCCCAGCAGGCCTGGGTCCAATCTCAGTCGGCGCCACCGGCATGTTCTAAGGCATAACATCTCTGGGAGCTGCCTCCCTGGCGTCGGTAGCATTAGAGCTCAGTACGGAAAACAAATCTCGCGTCACTTTTCAATAGGTCCTATCTACATTGATCGATTCTCTTCATCGACACTCTCTTTCGTAAATATTCGGCTTCACAAATGTGGATCAACAATACAAAAGAGCCCATCAGCATTTGTAAACAAACCGTTCCAAAGCCCTTTACTCACAAAGCGAAGGCCACCCACACAAACCAACACCATCATCGGATAGGGGAAACTTCTACCTACAAGATGTTGGTGTTGGTTTGTGTGAGTGGCCTTCGATTTGTGAGGCTTTGGAACGGTTTGTTTACAAATGCTGATGGGCCCTATTCTATTGTTGATCCAGAAATGTGTCCTGCCGTCTTCGTCGAATTAGATGCTAGATTGTTGCTTCTTCCATCGAAAATATCCGGCCGTGGGGATTCAAAGTTGATCAAGGTTGATCAAAATAATTTGTATCCCTGCTTCCAGTTTGATAACATGAGCATTTTGTGTGGTTGGTGGTTCTGAATATGGACAAACAGGCAGATGAATTCTATTTCTACTCTTTTCTGTAATAAGATTGGTGGCCCTGAAAAGAGCCGTTTTGTTTCCAATGTTGGTGATGATTTACCTCCGAAACCAAACAGAGTGCGTCTCTGTCACTTCAAAAACGTAGATGACATCCATGGCCGCTTACGCTTGGCGTGTTTAGTGTAGGTGACAGCATCACGGATCTCATTTTTCAGGAACACCTTCAGCACACCTCGTAAATCAAACCGTAGATACGTCAGACACCGCCACGGCGAGCCAGACGACCGATGGTGGTTATCTCGAAGAACATGGTTCTGAACATGGCTCCCTATTTGCACGCAAGGATCGGAGGCGAATGCCACTTCGACTTGTTTCGTCTACTTACTACTCTCTGACGACTGTGCTGGGGAAGCAGCATATGCATGTAGGTAATTGGGGGATTTGTTAGTTAATTCGACGCTTTTGGACAATGCTGAACATTTACCAGTTTTTCAATAGTTTCTTGTTGAAAATCAACATTCGGAAGCATTTTTATCAATGCGTAGCCATATTACTGATCGATTGGTGATAAAGTTATTGAAATTGGACCAGGGGCAGCTGAGTTATTAACGTTCAAAATCTTTCTTAATTTGTTACATGTTCCATTTTCGGTTTTAACAAAGTGTACCCCCATATAGAAATCAAAGACGTAGTCCTACGTCAAAATACCTCAAGACTTCTACGCAAGTATTACCCTAAGAATAAAAAATAAAATAATAAGATGAACATATCGAATTTAAAATTTTTGGAATTCAGTACATACGTTTTTTTTAAGAATACTTGCTTTCGTGGTTCATTTTGAACGTATGCATTTGATTATCATTTATTAAAGCAATGCAAATATTCGTAATCTATACATATCCTGAAAAAAAAAACAATACGGATACAATGACAAATGAAAAAGTTACAGTCAATTGTTGATGTCCGTTTGGTAACTTGAAAAGTCCTTAGATCAGTAGAATAATCAGTATCCTGAATTTTTATTTTTCATCTGATTTAAGCATACCGAATTTTTTTTAAAGTTCTAAACTGTAACTTCGCAATACAAAATAATATTCCAGAAGTCATGAATCTATTTTTTTATGTTCAAAAATCATAAAGATTTTTCTGAAATTTCTCAAATATGTAATTATGTTGGAATTCTCATTAGACACTTTTAAAAAAATGATTTTGATTGTCCCACCGGACGATTTTATTCCCGAACTGCACTCGGTTACTGAGTAATTAATACTAACTCTCCTGATTAATAGCTAATTCTAACTACCTTGAAGGTGCCTAACTGAAAAGTGCTACCTAAGCGTCGCGAAGGGTCCACGTGCTGGTCGTTGCTACTCGATGACTGCTGACTCATCGGTTTGCTCCTCGTGGTTGGCTGATGCAATTATTCGGGTGAGCTGGGTGCCGGATGTGCTGCGCTGCTTAAGCTGTTTACTTGTTGGTTAATTCTGTCTGTCCGCGTGGATTGGGTTCGGGTTGCTATGGAATGATGGGCGGGTCCGTACATAACTATGTTTCTGAGATCTAAATAATTAATCAAGTATGAAATCACATAAAAAACTATCTAAGTCTTAAATCTCTGAAAATGTCCAAGATCCTGTAAATGTATACAAGTCCCACTGTATGGATTTTTTTAACCTAAGGTTTCGATATTTTGTTTCAGACTGGAGCATGAAGTGTTTCTCTGAGCCTGGGCTCTTGAAAACTGTCGTAAGCAGTAGAATAGCGAAAAGTTCCCCAAGACCCAATAAATTTAAAATCTTTTCATGTTCTGGAATATAAATTTTTTTTTGAAGTATGATGCTTAAATTTGTCTTCGTTATAGCATGCCAAAAATTATTAAAACCGGATGTTGTGATTTTTTATATAATCCCAACAACATTTAAGATAATCTACGTAGTTTCGTAATCTGTTGGGCTATGTAATAGCAGATTTATGAAAATTTTACATGATCCGAGTTAATCCAAACCATCTTTGCCCGAAATCATAACCATTTCTCCAAGTCTGCAATTAAACAATATCAAAATCTTGGATTCGTGAAACATTTTCATGGAAGCCCCAAATCCAAGAAATTTTCTTTAAATCTGGCTTATTGAAAAGATTTTAAAATCACAATCAAGATCTCGAAAATTTGTCCATGTAACAAAATCCTGAAAATTGTTCAAGTCCTCGACTGCATTGATTACATTACAAGCCAGCATTATAAAAAAATCCTAAACCTTCCGATATCTAGAATATTTTCCATGGATCCAACACATATAAATCTTTACACGTAGGTACCAGATTCTGCAACCTGTGAATCTGCAAAACAGGCTAATTTATTATGTTTGCCTTTTTTAAATGTCTCAAGCATAACCGGATCATTGCCCCCACAAGCATAGCACGAAGATTCATTAGAAATTCAAAAAATCAACATATGAAATTCTTCTTTCAGGAGCCTACGATGCTAGCCCAATAGAGAAGCATATATAAACTGGAGCATTTTACCATAGCATCACATCGTTTCAGTTGCTTCGATCAGAGAGTAGACCGTCGTCCAGTGTCCTGTGCCCTGTGTCCAGTGTGTTTAGTGTTGAAGAACAAAAATGAAGTGCCTGATTGTGGTGAGAATCGATAGTGAGATAATCGTGCGCTGACAATTTGAAACTAATTTGATTTGTGACCTTGCAGCTATCGGTGATGGCCGTGGGCTGTGCCCTCGCTCAAAACCTCAACGATGGACGCTACTACCCAGAGGTGTTGCATGCCAAATTCAATGACGGAAAGTGGCGCCCACAAGACAGTGGAAAATACATTGCCTCTGCCGGATCGGGTGGTTCTGGTGCTGGTGCAGGTAGTGGTTTTGGTGCTGGTTTTGGCGCTGGATCTTCTGGTAGGCAGTTAATGAGCGCAAGATATCCGTTGAACAGGAAATATTAAAAGTGCTCTTTTGCAGGATCTGGATCAGGTGTAGGTAGTCGTTTTGGAAGTTCGTCGGGTGGTTTCAATGACGTTTCCGTCAATGCCTTCGTTGCTCCTGTTCAAGCCGCTCCAGCTCCAGCCTTTGTAGCTTCTTCCGGCTTCGGCTCTGCTGGCTCCAAGAAGAGTGGATCCGGAGGATTTGGAAGCTCTTCCAGCAACGGTCAGGTTATTGGAGTCAAGGAAGATACCCGTGAGCTGAACGAAGATGGTTCCTACTTCTACAAAGTTCTGAGCGAAAACGACATCGAGTTCTCCGAGACTGGACGCCTCGAGAACACCGGATCCGAAACCGACACCATGCGCGTCAAGGGATACTACCAATTCGTCGCCGATGATGGTATCACGTATCGCGTCGACTACATTGCCGATGAGAACGGATTCCAGCCAACTGGTGATCATCTGCCAACCCCACCACCGATTCCAGCGGAAATCCTGGAATCTCTGAAATCCCAGGGACTGATCTAAATTTTACAGTTGTTTCGAAAACAGAAAGTGTTCATTAGATTGTAAATTGTGACCTGATTGTGATAACTAATGCTCTGATCAAGGGAGGGTATGGGACGAAATAAAGTTATTCCATAGTAAATATATGTGGTTCAATTATTATCTGAAAAAGAAATCAAATTACAGCAGTCGAACCTTAAGCATAATGTACCCAAGTAACCAACAAGCCCGCTAATCACCCTTTTTGCAATATAAGTCTGATATACGACTGATACAAAGTTCGGAAACCCTATATTTGCCTTATATCTTAAAAAGGGCTATTATCGGGTAGTTAGCGGGCTTGATGGTTACTTGGGTATACTTCCAAATCCAGGATCCTCATTATTATTATATTTTGCATGTTGAGCATCCGGGGCCAGGGGTCTAGACAGAAAAATCATGGTATTACCAAGACTGAGGTGGCCGGTTCGAATCCCGGTCCGGTCAAGGAAATTTTCTCGATTTCCGTTGGCATAGAATATAATTTTGTTTGCCACATAATATATAAGTTCATGCATTGGTTGACATGGAAAGCTTTTGATTAATAACTGTGAAAGTGCATCTAGAACGCTTAGTTGAGAGCCGGCAAAAATAGTCTCTACAAATACGTGAAATGCCTATAAGAAGAACTGGCGCCTGTCTAGCGTAGTGGGAGATGTGGATTCGATTCCCATCTGTATGCAGAGGATTTTTTCACTATTTTGGCAACATATCTCACCACATGTTCTTTCCTTCAAGTATCGTTTCAAAAAGTAGAAAAACAGTTTATTTATTTATTTGTGTTCACATCAACATGCTCTAAGCCCCAATGATGGTCATGTGAATAGCAATCTATCCTAATGATTCCATCTCCAGGAAAAAAGGCAGATGATCTTCGTCGCAGTGACTCATGAGACAGTTGAAAGTTGAACACCGCTGCAACTATGTAGACAAGACTCAACATCAGATTGTTACGCAAAGACCGCGGCTGCCCGGCAGGTTCATTTGGGCAAGTATAATTGGAATGTCAACCCTATTTTGCAACACATCAGCGACAAACAAAGCCCGTAGAGCATCACGGCGTGTCTTTGGAGGTTCCAGGTAAATCAGCAAACAGCGTTCTTCGTAAATGGGTAATGGGTCTCTCTAGGGTAGTCGCTGAAGTGCGCAGCGAATGAATCTTCGTTGAACAGACTCGATCCGCTCTGCTCAGTTTTGATACAAAGTATTCCAAACAGCAGCACCGTACTCCAAGGTGGAGCACACTAAGCAACAGTACAGCATTTTCTCGTAATACACATCGGTAAAATCTTTAGCCACCCTAAAGCTGAAACCCAAGGATCGGGAAGCTTTGTCAACGATAAACGCAATGTTCTGTTAAATGTTAGTTGCGAGTCCAAAATGATACTTAGGTCTTTTACGCAACTTACTCGTTCAATAACAACGAATAGCAGTGTATAACTGAACATCAAGGGCTCTTTCTTCCGAGCAAAAGTGATTACTAATCATTTCTTCGGGTTCACAATCATCCGGTTTAAGTCACACCAGTAGCTAAATCTGTTAATCTTCTTTTTGTAGAAACGAATGTGTTTGAATCTTTAAAAAAAAAATCTTCAGATGGTCAGCGAAGGATCGACGAAGTCCCTCTAGCACAATGGCCCGAGGTGACTTCTCTGGGGTAAGCCCGAGTATGTTGGGAAGGTACACGAATAACACTTGTCTAATGAAACACGAAGCTGACGCTCGGTAAGATATGACTGGATAGTAAAGATCCGTCGATCCCCAGTCGTTCAATTATAGGTATTGCAAGGGCATGGTTGATTCCATCCATCCATGTCTACATCCTTCCTATCACCGTTTTTATAAACTGGATACATTTGTGCATTGCACGTTGGAAAGGCACCTGTTGGCAGAGATAATCCAAAAAGATAGCTTATAGGTTCCAGTAGACAAAGTAAAAGTTGCTTCAGGAAAACGGATGGAATACCATTGTTTGTCGATTTCAATCTGGCTGCTGCCGACGAGATGATCCTTTCGTTGGCCGGAATTTTGTTCAGGACAGAAAATGTATCAGGAACAGGATGAACAGAATATCCTCCTCTTTTATCAGGAGCTGCACATGCTGGAGCTTCAGTTGATTTAACAATTTTGGTTGAATGTGGGAAGCAGCTCGGGAAACTTGTTGAGCTGTGATACTCTTATTAGTAAACACATTAGCGAATTTTGTTGCGAACAGTTGGCAAATTTCGTCTGAGCATGATGCAACATTAGCTCCTAATTTCATTGCAGAAGGAAGGCTGGATTCTTTGTGTTGTTCGTTAAAAAAATTCCAGAAGCTCTTAGGATTGGATTTCAATTTGCGTTGGATATTTCGTTGGTAATACGAAAAACTTTCCTGTGAAGCCTTCTTGAAAGCTAGGTTCAGTCTCACGTAATAATGTCGCAGTGACGTAGTGTATCTTCTAAACGCAGATTTTTTGATAGTGTTTATCCTGCGAAGATTTTGCATTTACCAAGGCTTACTGTCGCGGCGATGGACAGTTTTAGGTACATGTCTTTCAATAACATATGTCAATACGTTGGTGAAAGTCTGTGCAGCAACTTCAACAGCAGTGCTATCAAGAACAGATTCTGGAAATCGTAACTAACAGTAGATGGATTAACTGTGGATTTTACAATACAGCATTGTGCCAAGGTAATCACTGTAGGAGGATGGTGAGCCGTATCCTTCACTAGACAACAGATAATGGAGGGACACAGTCACACTGATAATACAAAGATCCAGCGTGCTATGATTCTCATTCACGACGTAAATGAAATCGTAACTAACAGTAGATGGATTAACTGTCGATTTTACAATACAGCATTGTGCCAGGGTAATCACTATAGGAGGATGGTTAGCCGTATCCTTCACTAGACAACAGATAATGGAGGGGCACAGTCACACTGATAATACAAAGATCCAGCGTGCTATGATTCTCATTCACGGCGTCGTTTATTTGGAGTAACGTTGCTGCACTGTAACTGTCCAGTAGTTCAGTAGCTCCAGTATGCAGAACTGAAAGTTCAATGCCAGTAAGAAGAGGACCACCGTAGAACGGGTGCCATGCAACTCCCGGCATACTGAAATCCCCGACAATCATCACTTCAGCAACTGCTGACGCTTTATTCAATAACAGTCATAATTGACTAAACATGCGACCGAAGGAGCACACAATCGTGGATACGATCAGGGGGGATATACACAAACCTGTTCAATGTAGACCCATAAAACGTTTTCGATAACCCTTGCTCTCAGTTTGGAAATAACGGTGATCAGTACTTATCCACAGTGTGATTTGCGGCTGATTACGGTCGCATCGGAATACCTGCTAATTATCGGGGAAAGCTTGGCTGGATATGGGGCGTCCATTAACCCATTTTTTTTTTATTCTTTATTTGTTCCAAATTCAAAATAAATTACATTTCATTTTAACCTAGGTGCTCCAGTTACTACAGTAACTTACCAGCCTTAATTGTTATGATATACATCTAAGTGTTTTTACATTGTTCATGCCTTGGCAATTCAGTATTTTAAACAGCAACACAATAGTTGGGTAAAGAAGAACTGCATTATAACACACCATCGACTGGAAATGCTCTCGCAACGTAGGGCGTTAGGTAGTGATGAAAACGTCGCTAGAACTATTCCATAGCCGCAGTCAGTTTATTAGCAAAAAGAGGGACGCACATTTTTGCCTGTAGACTTGGAGACATACTTCAAGTCTCCGCGTACATCGTACGGGTTAGGCAAAAATGTGCGTCTATCTTTAAAAAACTGTCGCATTAATGGCCCTTCGCTCATTTTCAACTTCTATTCAATTTTCATACTGCCGTACTCTAACGGAACTATCCACCTACCCTCTTCTAAAGATCATTCTCTAGCTAATAAATCATCACACTAAAGCTTCATGTTAGCATTTCCAACCAACTCTGAAAATCATTTTAAACAGGTTTTTTAAAAACCTGCATGTCAGTATAACAATTGAAATCTTAAGACTAAAAACTAACACTAAATCTTATCTAAGTATAAAGGGAATTAATCGTTGCAATTGAGGATTGCAACGATTTTTGCCTGAAATTATTTATTATTTTGTTGGACATTTGTTCTAAAGTCTGTTGTTATACAATATAGGCCCAAGAGTGCTACCCTGAGCAACTCCTGCTCTAACAGGTAGTCGATAAGATTCGGAATTTTGATAATTTACCTGCAGAGTTCTGTCAGTTAAATAATTTTGAATTAATTTCATAATATAAAGTGGAAAATTAAACTTTTTTCAATTTAGCAATCAAACCTTCATGCCAAACACTGCCGAATGCTTTTTCTATGTCTAGAAGAGCAAGTCCAGTTGAGTGGCCTTCAGATTTGTTTGAACGAATTAAATTGGTAACTCTTAAGAGTTGATGAGTAGTTGAATGGCGAAATCCAAACTGCTCATCTGCAAAAATTGAGTTCGAATTGATGAGAAGCATCATTCTATTTAAAATTATCTTTTCAAAAAGTTTACTTATTGAAGAAAGCAAACTTATTGAACGGTGGCTAGAAGCTTCAGCTGGATTTTTATCCGGCTTCAAAATTGGAACAACTTTTGCATTTTTCCATTTATCAGGGAAGTATGCCAAATGGAAACATCTGTTAAATAATTTTACCAAGAAATACAAAGTACTTTCTGGGAGTTTTTTGATGAGGATATAGAAAATTCCATTCTCACCTGGAGTTTTCATATTATGAAACTTTTTAGATATAGATCTTACTTCGTCCTGGAATCGTCCAACTACCAAGAGAAAATATTCAGATAATCCCGAGCAACCTGATTCTCAACAGAACTAGTAAGACCCAAACTGAAATTATGGGAACTCTCGGATTGCTTAGCAAGTTTCTGAGCTTTTTCCAAATGTGTGATCAAAATTTTACTATCTTCTTTAAGCGCTGTAATAGGCTTTTGAGGTTTTTTTTTTTCAAAATGTTTCTGTGTTTCCAAAAGGGTTTGGAACTCGGGTCTAATTTCGAAACATTATTTTCAAAAGTTTTGATCCTCAGGGCAGATAATCGCTTTTTAATTTGTTTTTTAATCCCGCCAGATA